TGCACCCCCCCCTCCCGCCATGTCCTCCAGGCTGGAGTACAGGCAAGGGGTGGTGGCACAAACACCAGGGAGGGATATGGGGTGTGATTTGCCCTGGCCCCCTAAATGTCCCCCACTGGAGTGAGGGGTTATTTTGGCATGCAGGTTTGGGCAAGCACACGTGGGGGCTTGGAGCTGGGATGCTGCAGTCACAAGGCACCAGCACCTCCGTGGGGACCCAAATCCGTCCGAGCTGGAGGTGGGCAGGGAAGCCACAGACTAACTGCTCAGGGAGCCCAGGGACAGGGTGAGACACTGAGGCACGGGTTGCACCCAGGAAGTTCCTGTTAGATGGTGGGACAAACCTTTCCCCAGGAGGGGCAGTCAGACCCTGGAGTGGGGCATGGAGGGGGGGTCCCCATCCTTGGAGTCCTTAGCCCGGGGTGGGGCTGGGCATGGGGCAGCAATGGGAGGGATGTGCACCCACACCCCTCTGCACCCTCTTGTCTTGGAGGCCACCCCAGAGGATGGCTTTGAGGGCAGACTCGTGGGCCTGGGCACCTGGATGGCCTCAACTGTGCCGGTTGGATGTGGCCCTGATGCCTGGAGCAAAGATGAGCGGGCAGCAAGGGCGACAAGGGGGAACTGCTCCTTCAGGGGGGACATTCGAGGGCTGAAGCCCTGCCTTGCCCTTCCTGGCTGCTCACACCATGCACATCATCATCTTTCCCCTGAGTGCTGAGCCCACGAAGTTGCTCTGGGCCGAAGCATCTCACAGAAAGCCATCCATCCTTGCCCAGGAACGACGGGAGATGGATCTTCCCCCTCCCCTCAGAAGCTACATGCTGGCAGTTACTGACTCTCCTTGTCCAAATATGTGCCTAATTCATCAGTATTAATAGCTGCTCTCCAGAGTCCAGCAGCAGCTCTTCTGCTGCTTTCCCCACGGTGCCAGCAGCCCCTTGGTCCTCAGCTGCTCCCATCCCTCCTATGCCCCCTGCAACCCAGGGCTGAGCGCTCCCAGAAAGCCACTTTATCCAGCTCTCAAACACTTTTTGCTCCTCTCTGCTTGGAGCACTGGTGCCAAAAAGTTGTGGCAGACAAGGGCTGGATGCAGCCCTGGGGCAATGGGGTGGGGGAGCCTGCGCACCCCTCCTGTCCCCATCCCATCCCAGCCTCCCCACGTGCCACATGGTTCCCGCAGCCCCTCTGCCAGCTCCTTCCAGCCACCACCCCCCC